TTGATGCGGTACACCCATTTCCCCGAGAGAACGTTCTTCCCGTTGATGCTCGTTGCAGGTACCAGTTTCCATGTTTCTCGGTCTTGCAGAGCTTTTAACTCCTTTTCCATCGCTTCTTTCCATTTTGCCTTATGTTCCCCCCCAGAGCCTGCGACAAGGTTGAAGGCTCACGCGTAGAAGGCGGCGGCGGATGCTGGACGGAGACCCAGAGGCCTAGAATCTGGAGTCCCGTGGGTGTGTGTCGAGGGGAATTGTCATTCCCCGAATAAGCTGCTTCGTCACCGTCTTCGGGGTCAGGTAAGAAATTGGGGCCGATGCGTTCCGAAATATTCGTGTCGACGGGGTGCGGTGTAGCGTAACCTTGGTCGGCGAAGTGGTAAAAGGTGTCGAGGTTGTTGCTATCGAGGGGATTATCTTCATCGAGTGGAACAGGTATGGAACAGAATGGGAGTGGCCCGGCAGCTTCCGAGGCTCCAGGTACGTCTTCTTCTGCTGCGTCAGCCTCGGCAGCATGGTCAGCGAAGGAGCGAAGGCCCGCGAAGCCGTCGGTGGGGTCGTCTGAGTTGGCAATGTTGTCCAGGTAATGCTGCAGCGTCAGTCGCTCGTAGAAGATAACATCACGTGATGCCACCGTATTTTTGTCTTGTATGTCGAGGATCTTCCACGCGTGAAAATGTTTGGCGATGCCGAGGTGTAGTCCCCACCGAGCTCGTTGAGTGAAGCGTCCTGCTCGAGCTGTGTGGGGTCTGTATTGTACCATGCAGCCGAAAACTCGAAGTAATTTTGTGCTGCCCCTTTTTCCCGTCCACAGCAGGTGTGGTGATGCGTTGTTGGGGAGCGATGACGAGGACAACAGGTTGTGCAGGTGGACTGCATGTGTCATCGCGTCTGGCCACAGTGCGTTGGGCAGCCTCATCCCCAGAAGCAGTTTTCGCATCGTCGTCTGCAAGGTCCGGTTCATGCGTTCTGCTACCCCCTGCTGCTGGTGAGCATAGGGCAGAGACACCAGGCGTCGGATTCCCCTTTCCGCGAGATAGGTCCTGAAGCGTTGTGACTGGTATTCCAGTGCACCGTCTGACTGGAAACTCTTGAGTTTGGTTCCTGACTCTCGTTCGGCGATTGGAAGCCATGTGGTGAATGCCTCGAAGGCTTGATCGCGCGTTTTGAGATTGAAGTGCCAGACGTATCTGGTTGCGGCGTCGATGAACGTGATGACGTAGTTGAAGTCGGCTTCGGTGTCGTCTCGAGGCATGTTTAGAATATCGCTGTAGACCTTTTCCATCGGAGCGTAAGTGGGTGCGCTTGGATTGTGATGGGCTGGGAAAGGTTGATGAGGAAGATCTGCTTCGGGGCATGTGAAACACCGTGCGCGTGGTCGTCGGAGTTCCTGGCCGCTCGTCGTCAGAAGGGCGTTGCGTTCTAACACTTCTGCTTGGATTGTTTGAAGTATCGTGCTGTTTGCAGGATGTCCGAGACGTTGGTGCCAGATGTCGTCGGGAGCGCGGTGACCGGGCGAGCGGTGGTAGATGTCGGCGTTGGAGAAGAACGCGACGACCGAGGCGGGACTTCGACAAGCTTCTCGTGTGGCGGGCATAAGTTGGTCTGCTTCGGTTGGCTGTCCTCGTGTCGCTGGTGGTGGTACTCGGCTGGGTCCTGCTGCCGATACTGCAGGTGATGGTTTTGTTGGGACACATGCGGGTACTTGTCTTTCTTGTCTGATAACTGCTAATGCTCGTGTTCTTTCTGCTGCAGGTATGGTGTTGGAGTGCCAGAAGCCGTCGCTGTCGAAGTCGGGATCAAGATCTGGCGGATGAGTCCAGGCGGCGAAGGATACGATACCGTCGCTGTCGGCAGTTCCGCGGTCGGGGACGAAGTCCAACACGAAGACACCGGACTTCAAGAGGGCACGACCGATGAAGAGACCGCCCTTCCCGTGGTAAAGTCGGAACTCGTTGGAGAAGGAGTCGCACTCCAGGTGAATCCCCTTAGCCATTAGTTGGCTTACGCTTAATAGGTTGTATCCCAGATTGTCGACGATGAGGACCTTGTTGAGCTGAAGAATAACGTTTGTCTCCATTGATTGTAACTGAACCACGCCTTGTCTATTTGTTTTCAGGTTTTCGTTGTTGGCGACGGTGATGACGACGTCACGGTTGAGGCGTCGCTCGTGTTGTACGAAGCGTCCGGAGGAGCACATGTGCTGACCACAGCAACTGTCCAAGAACCAGGTGTTCCGCCCGGTGGGTTCGGCGTTAGCGACTGCAGCGTATGTCGGGTTGACCTGAAGTCCTTGCGAGCGCGGCGGCGGGAATTCCTCTTCGTCTGGTGCGTAAGTGGGTGGTGAAGCGGGTGCGCAGTTGTCGATGTGTACCATGCAGTTGATGATGTTGGGTGTTTGTTGTGCAGATGTTGAAGAGCGCCTTGGAGGACTTGCTTGAGTGGAAGCGACTTGTGGGTCTGCTGCACGGTAAACGCGAGGGCGGTTGCAGTTGACCTTGGAGTGCCCGGAAGTCTGACAGTTGTGGCAGAACGGCGGCACGATGGTGAGTCCTCGGTTGTCACGTTGATCTTGCTTGCTGCGTCGGTTGTAGTTGTTGTCATTTCTTCTTTGAGTGTAGAAGACTAACTGCTGTTGCTTCCTTGGTTGTCTTTCCTCGAACAGATCCATCTCCTGTTGTTCAGCGTGAAGCTCGGCGCAGAGGTGCATCTCCGAAATTCTTCCGTGGGCTCGAAGAAGTGATCGTGTGGTTCTCCATTCTGGCCCGAGCCCGGCGAGGACAAGTGTCACGAAGCTTTCTTCAGTGATCGTTCCTCCGCACCGAAGCAGGCGGTCGCGGAGGGTCTGGCAGCGACTCATATACTGCATCGCCTTTTCCCCGGTCTTCATCTGTATTGTTGTCAGCTGTTGCATGAGTCTGCTTTGTGTCACGCTGTCGTTTGCTTGGTAAAGGCATTTGAGGTGGTGCCATGCGAGCTCCGCGGAGTTTCCATAACTCCGATACGTTCTGATGCTCTGCTGCTCTTGTGGTGACAGGTTTCTCAGGAGTACCGTGTACGCCAGCAGCGACTGATACGTGAAGATCTCTTGTTCCTTCCCAGTGCCGTTGCTTGGGAATGGCAGGGACCCGTTGAAGTATCCCAGAAGATGCGCGGCCTCCATCAGCAGCTCGAACTCGAAGCTCCAGGTAAAGAAGTCGTGTCCGTTGAACGGTGAGGATGTCTGAAGTTTGATCACGTGTGAGAACTGCGCCTGTAAACTTAAGATTTCATTCGGTGTTTGTTGTGAAGCAGCTGCTGTTGGCTGGGCACGGGGCGGCATGAATTCGAACGTCCCCGGCGAAGAATGATAAGGCGCAAAGGTAGGCGCTTGATTGTGTCGCCCGAAGGATGAGTTGTCGAGGCTCATCGGCGCTAATCCCATATTCCCTCCATTGCTCTGTGTTGAGTGCGCAGGTGTCCTTGTCTGCTGCTGCTGATCGAAGTGTGACATGAAGCTGAAGAATCTCTCCATGAGATTCGGGTCCACACTTGAAGAGGGAGACGGGGTCACCATCTCTGGTACTCTTCCCGTTGTTTCTTGAGCAGTCCCGGTCTCTGTCTGCAGTCCTGAGGTGTGCAGACCAGAGTTGCCGTGTTGAGTTTCTTGGGCGCTGGGTGAGCCCGTAGAGACTTTCTTGCCCTTGTTGTCCATGTCTTGTAATCAATGAAGTCGTTGAATTGAGTTGAGTTGCAGGTTGTTGATAGGACGTAGTTGCTGGGAGTTTGGTCTCTGACCAGCTCTCATACCATGTTGGGCTGAGAAAAGCCCTTAGGATCTTTTGCAGAGACTAAGTCCCAGCTTGTAGAGACTTGAGACTTGGAGTAGTGCAGCGGAAGTTGAGACGGTTGAACCCTTGTACTAGTATGTGAGAACAAGTGATTGATTAAAGAAACAAGCATACAGCAATATATAGTAGATAAGAAAGCAGTTGTAGAATACAGTTACAGGAACGGTTTATCGAGTCGCACAGCGACTCGATTGCCGCTTCGGTTACCATCCGTGATGTTGTAACGGTCAGTCGCAACCTCCAGTTGCGACCTTTCGAGTCCTTTCGCATTCTTTGTCCGCCCCCTCGTGTAACCTCCGTTGACTCGCGTGCTCCCCTGTAGTCTTCCTCGAGTACAGTGTTACACTTCAGAAACGCTCAAGTCCTTGAGATATTTCCAACAATTCACATCCGGTCGGCATGCTCCGATTGGGTTATGGTGCCGGATTTAGCCTTGCTCCTTCGTCGGATTTCGTCGATAGCCATGAAGCCTAACGATTGGCAGAGGATAAGCATGGCACGTCACTCAGGGATTTCAAGGGCACCAAGAGATGAGGGTTGGATTCCTTGTTACGCCGCAATCGCAATTGGTCACGGGCCAATGCAAGCACTCGAATGTAGCAGGGGGGTTAACGCAATTGGGTGCAACTGTTAACTTTATTGTAGGTCCGCGTGTATTCTAATTGGCCAGTATCAGTTCTTTTTGCATACAAGGGGGTAGCACATATGGATAAATTGCAGCTGTGGAATCGTTGCACCAGTTGATGTTGTTCTAAAAGCATACAACCTGTACCAGGTGTCTGGGACTGAACGTACGGGGACACGAGCAGGTGAGAATTGCAATTGGGACCCTAGGGGTGTCAAGATCTGGTGGGAATTGCAATTTGGACTGTTCGTCTGAGGACCATAGCGTGGAGCAGGTGTAGTTGTTCGTTGGCTCGTGGTTTGGTGGGGTGGTGATACTGATGGTGTGTCCAAAGTGAAGAACGAAATCTAAGATTTCGACGCTACTAGACGGTATAGCATGGTTCCTCTGGCTTTCAGGCGGTTTATTGCACATCTTCTCTGGTAACCAACGGCATCTGACGAGAGGTCAGGTTTTCATTATTTCATTCAACAGGAATTGTGGGACCGTGAGGTGATGTTCTTCTGGAAGTTCTGTCCCAAATCCTCGCGTGACCTCATCCGTTACAGGGGCTTTCAACTAGTTTCTTGATAATGACATCATTTTGAAGTCGTACTGTACAGTTATTCTTGTTGTCATCGAAATGCTGCAAATATACTATTTCAACTATGTTTATGTACATGCATCCCTCACCTTTTGCAAACCCCCGTCCTCCCCTCCCGACCAACCAGCCACCCAGTAATACCACGTTTGCATAGCTCTAGCTTCGTCGCCACTACCATGGTTACGACTTATTGTAGATACTCCATCCCCCCCTCTTCCCCCTTCCCCTCCCCCCCCCTCCCCCCCCCCCCCCCCCCCTCACCCAACTGCATCATTGTCCCAAAAGGGGTTTGTAACGATTGGTCCCTAGCCTTCTTCCTCATCCTCCTCAACTTTTTGTCTCTCATCTCCCTTCTCGTCCGTGCCATGGTCTTCAGCCCTTACTACAACTCATGTCTCTCCTCTTTCTTCTCCCTCCTTTCCCTCTTCCCCGTTCCCCTTTTCCCCCTTCCCCTTCGCATCATCCCGCTCCTCTATCCTTCCCACCTCCTTCCCCTTGCCCTCCTCTTCTTCCTCTGCCTTCCCCCCCTTCTCCCTATCTACAACGACTTCCCTCTCCCCCCTCTCCCCACCTTCCTCCCCCCTATCCCCCTCCCCTTCTTCCCCCTTCCCTTCTCCATCCCCCCTCTCCCCATCCCCCCCATCCCCCCTCTCCCCATCCCCCCCATCCCCCCTCTCCCCGTCCCCCTCATCCCCCTCCGCCAGTTCCGCCAGTCTCAGGAGCAGCTGCTGCTCTTCTGGGGGCAATGCTGGGGGGAGGGGAAAAGGGCAGGGGGAAGGTAGGGGGAGGGTAGGGAGAGGGTTGGGGGGGGGGGGGTAAGGGGAGGGTTGCAGGGAGAAGGAAGGGTAGGGGATGGAAGAGAAGTTGGTTGCGCGACACTCCATGCATGCTCACATGCAGAAGTTCCGTAGTCGTGTACGCATGGTGGGACTTGGTTAAAAAGAGTCGGTTTCTCACATGCATAAGTACTGTAGTAATGCATGCACACAAGCTCAGGTGGTGCTTGAAGGTTCATGAAGGTTCTTGAAGGTTCATAATGGTTCTTGAAGGTTTTTCCTCCCAACACTCGAACAGTATATTAAAATTCTTCTCTGCTGGCTGGATCAATAGGAACTTCCCGTGACAAAGGAGATGCTTTGGCATGGCATGGCATGGCATGGCATGGCATGGCAACTGACCACTCACCATGGATGGGGTTCGGGGCCTGATGTCAGGGTAAGAAGTCAGCGTTATGGAGCACGCGAAGCCGACACGCATACCATGCACACATGCATGCAGTGCACACATGCGTGCAGTGCACACATACATGCATGCAGTGCACACATGCATGCAGTGCACACACGGGGCCAAGATGTAGAGTGCCATTATAAGAGCGCACCATACGCAGTCATCATGCCATGCACCCATTCCAAGACATTAGATTTCATGCCACGTTATTCCATGCCATGCCATGCACCCATTCCAAGACATCAAAACAAGACAGCACACAGAGATTCGTGGCGTGAAGTGCCACGGCTCTGAGGGGAATGAGAAGATGCCATGGCAACACTAACTTGCATGGGGTGCTACCGTTCTCAGGATGGGATGAGAAGTATGATACGGAAACAAAATGGTAACACGAGCAAGACGGTATTCAACTGACACAATCGGCCATCTATACTGGAATGGCGACACGAGCAAGAAACTATCTGACTAGGAGATTCACCCACATCTTGGAGGTTTACTGAGTAACTCCCACTTTACTGCATTCGTTTACTGTGCCACCAACTCCAGAAAGAGACATCTCAAGGAAGTTCACAACGAGAGCACAATTTGACCGGGGTGGTATTTGACTGGAGTATTGTGCTTTCTCTGTTACCTCGATGTAATAACTTTTCCAAAATTGTTAGCACTGTAGACGATGCATAAAACTGAAGCCACTGTACAAACTTGCAAGGTGGGTTGAATCTCCGGATCAAATATTGTCTCTCTCGTGTCGAGCATAACATAGAAACGACAAGCAGAGCACCAAAAGGAAGCACCACAATATGCCACGTCACACAATATGCCACATCACACAATATGCCATGTCACCACAACATGCCATGCCACATCACCTGTACGTTATCCTTGAATGTCATGGTGGCTCCCGATATGTCGATAAAGACGCGCTGAACCACTGGCGGGACTGCAAAGACGTGACCATAGCCAAGGAAGAAACGAGAACGTGACATGCAGCTGAGACTCAAGTGAACCTGAGGAGAAGGAAAGCCTTGCTTGCGCTGAACCACTGCGAAAGTTATGGGAGATACGAAATCTGATGTGACTAGTGGTATCTCAAACTACCCCACACTCCCCTCCCCTTCCCTCCCCTCCCCCAACCTTCGCTCACCGTAGGTGTTTTCTCTTCGCACTCTTTCCACTTTAACCATCTGCAACAACACATGCACATGCACATGCACATGCACATGCGCAGCACATCAGCAGCAACCATCATCACTTTCCTACCCACACGCATGCGCGTGCGCACACATGCATACCCCACACATGTGTATGCACACACAGGGTCAGACATATGTGCATCAACACAACGGGCCGCATAAGGGCAACGCTTACATAAGACTTGGCAGAACTTGAACTTTTGATTCATGCTTTAACGGGAGGAACAGGCACTTGGAATGGTGAACCCTGATGCTCAACTTGACATTCAATGTCGCCAATCGCTCTTACCATCCCTCCTCCCATCCCTCCTCCCATCCCCTCTCTCAACCATCCTCGCCACTCCTCTCATTTCCTCTTCTACCATCCCTCCGCTCACCCCTCCTCCATCACCATCCCCCCTCCCACCCCCAACCATCCTCCCATCCCCCTCTCACCTCTCCCATCCCCATCCCTCCCATCTGACTCTGGCGCAGAATTCACATCCCTTCACATCCCTTCACATCCCTTCACATCCCTTCACACCCCTTCTACCATTCCTCCTCCCATCCCCCCTCTCGCCCCTCCTCCCCTCCCCACTCCTCACATCGATCTCTGGTGCAAAGCTTGCCAAACCCGGCAGCAGAGGGGAGGGCTCCAGTGGGGGGTGAATCAGCAGCGGTTCGGCTGCAGGTGAGGGAAGAGGGGGGGTAGAGGGAAGGGGGAGAGGGAGGGGGAAGGGGGAGGGGGAGAGGGGGGCAAACATATGACTCTAGATTCGAGGCTTTTGGATCGAGCCAAGACTCGCCAGGTTTGGCAGCAGAGGAAAGGGGGGAAAGGGGGGGAGTGGGGGAAAGGGGGGGAGTGGGGGAAAGGGGGGAGTGGGGGAAAGGGGGGGAGTGGGGGAAAGGGGGGAGTGGGGGAAAGGGGGGGAGTGGGGGAAAGGGGGGGAGTGGGGGAAAGGGGGGGAGTGGGGGAAAGGGGGGAGTGGGGGAAAGGGGGGGAGTGGGGGAAAGGGGGGGAGTGGGGGAAAGGGGGGAGTAGGGGGAAAGGGGGGGAGTGGGGGAAAGGGGGGGAGTAGGGGGAAAGGGGGGGAGTGGGGGAAAGGGGGGGAGTGGGGGAAAGGGGGGAGTAGGGGGAAAGGGGGGGAGTGGGGGAAAGGGGGGGAGTGGGGGAAAGGGGGGAGTGGGGGAAAGGGGGGAGTGGGGGAAAGGGGGGAGTGGGGGAAAGGGGGGGAGTAGGGGGAAAGGGGGGGAGTGGGGGGGAGGGAGAGGAAAGGGGGAAGGGAGGATCAGCAGCGGTTGGGCTGAGGGTGTGGGAAAGGGGGAGGGGGAGAGGGGAGGGCATACACACACAGTTCCAAGCGCAAAGCTCGTGGATCGAATAAAGGCTCGCCCGGCCCGGCAGCAAAGGGGTGGGCCTCAGAGGGGGGTGTATGAGCCGCGGTTTGGTGTGTCGTAGTAACGAGGTGACTATTTAAAAGGCGCCTCCGAAGTCACCTGGCTTCAGAGGGGGACGAATTAGCCGCGGTTTGGCGTGCAACTGTAACAAGGCGACTTTAAAGCCGACTCAAAAGTCGCCTGGCTTCAGAGGCGGGTTGGCTGGCAGCGGGTTGGCTGGCAGCGTGTGAAGGGTGGGGGAAGGAGTGAGGCGGAATGGCGAAACTCAAAAGCTGATTGGGGGGCCAGGAGGGATAAAAACATTCTTACGGCTCTGAGGGAAAAAATAGCTACCTACCTGCGCGCCGAGCTACCTGCGCGCCGAGCTATCTGCGCGCCACGCTACCTGCGCGCCGAGCTATCTGCGCGCCACGCTACCTGCGCGCCAAGCTACCTGCGCGCCAAGCTACCTGCGCGCCAAGCTGCCTGCGCGCCACGCTACCTGCGCGCCAAGAAGCAGAACTTCCGCCGCCTCCCCTGCTCCGCCCCATGAGCGCAACGCCCAGAAGCGCCAGCAACCCGAACGCGCATCCAAGAGCTGTGCGCGCAACTGCAATCCGCTTCCGCCTCTTCCTTCCCCCGCCCGTTCCCCTTTCTCTGCGCGCTCCCCTGACTATTGGCGATCCTGCGCTATTCCCCCCGGCCACCCGTTCAACCTGCTCCCCCATTCCTCCTCGTTCCGCTCGTTCCCCCAATTTCCCCGTCTCCGCCCATTCCGCCGTCTCCCCCACTTTCCCCCCTCCTTCTCTGCCTGCTAGTGGCTGCTCTTCCCCGCACGTCCCCGCATTTCCCGCCAAGTCTTCCGCTATTCTGCTCGCACGAACGTGGGTGGAGGAGCGGGATTGTTGGGGAGGCTGGATCTCCGGGTCATCGTAGTTAATTGCAGGCATAGGCGCGAAATATGTTCACAGCGGTTGTTGCGGAGATTCTGACATGCCGCGTCAGGAAAAGGGAGATTTGACAGATCGGGAATTGCGCGGGAAATTGCCTTGCTGTGCTGTTCTGGTGCAGAAAAGCTGGCATCCGCGATATTGGCATTGCAGGATATTTAGAGGACGGGCGATGTAAGGGAGTGGCTTTCGTACCTAGTTCACTGTACCTTTTTGTTACTTCGCATGCTTCTTATGAATGGAACAGCCGAGTAGCGCGGAGCAGGGCTCTCACTAGTTGGGTAAAACACCCTGATTGCACTGATTTTTCCGGGTATTTTCCTTGTTAGTCTTAAAAATCAGACTTCCATGTTTTTTAACACTGATCCAAAAATTGTAGCGAAAGTTTTACCCAGGCGAAAACAGGGTTGCGAGATCCCGCACCCTGAACCGTCAGGATGTCCTGGAAAAGACTCTGATGCAAAGCTCAGGAATTTCTGTGAAGTCCTTCAATAAATAGGGGCATTCCTCCTCACACACACCCCACAAACCTGAAATTTAGGCGAAGTCCTCCAAAACCAAAGACATTCCTCGCCACACACACCCCACAAACCTGAAATTTCGGCTAAGTCCTCCAGAACCAGAGACATTCCTCGTCACACACACCCCACAAACCTGAAATTTCGGCTAAGTCCTCCAGAACCAGAGACATTCCTCGTCACACACACCCCACAATTTCCCCGACACAACAACCAGACACATGGCCCACCACAGTGTGGTGACCACACCCAATCACGAGCATGTAAAATTTCTCTGCCCTGTTCCCGTCCCTGCAAATTCGATGTCCCTCCCGCACCCAATCACATGCAGCAGATTTTCTTCCCGCTCTGCTCCCGCCCCTACAAATTCGATTCCCCCATACCCATCCCGCTCTCCTCCCCCCCCACCCCCCACCCCCCCCTCACCTTCCCCAACCCGCGCACACGCAAATTCGCTGCACGTTTGTTTCACATTTCACCTGCATTTCGCGTGCCCTTCTTTCCTGAAGCACCGCATTGTACCGCATTCCAATTCGAACTCAAAATTGAACTTGCTAAGAATTCCAAGAGTTAGACAGGGTGGCAAAAAAACTACACTTTCAGCTAAGAGTTCAATTTTTTCTACCCTGCCAAGTTTGACTTCTGAAAACTTTTACTCTAGACGTCAGGGTGAAATTTTTTTGTACTCTGATTCCTAAGAGTGGCCTAAAACCAATTTTGGGCCCGGGCGCGGAGGGCAATGACGAAACTGTGAACGAATGAATCATGGGAAAATACATCGGCGCTTAGTATTAGGGGCCTCGATAACATGTACGGTCAGTAACACGATATAAACAATCAGAATTAATGAGTTCGCAACATGTTTCATCAGTCGGGTTCCACCGTTAGTCAGAAACTACAGGAAAAAAGTTCTACGAATGGTCAGTAGAAGTAACCTTCGCCCGTTTCGGAACGTTTTCCCCCCCGCGCCAACCCGATTTCGTCACCACTGTGGCTGGCGCGATATTTTTCTCAAGCTCCAGGCGCATTTCGAGAGAACTACGTAAAGTACTCCCAAATAAAAAATCGTTGGACGTCACGCACACAAAATTCCAAAATTGAGACCTCTCGAAATGACCAGGCCCATTCCCACCAGGTAGTAGTGTCGACTTATTAATCGACAGCTTCTGACTGAATAAGGGGGGTGAACCTGCGAACTACACTGTGCTGATGGAGTGTCCCCGAAAATTTAGGAGTTACTGTTGCAGTGGAGCAGAGAGTTTTCACCTGGTGCAGCAGAAGGAGGTTCCGACTTTTGCGGGTGTAGTTTGACGAGTTTCCGACGGAGGAGGGAGTTGTCCAGCGGTTAGTAGGCGAGCTCGTTAAAGCTCCTCTGACTAGAAGCGTGCGCACTCATATCTTTGCGGATTCTCCTAGTTAGTTAAGCAGCAGCGAAGCGGTTTTGTGTAACCTGCAGCAGCCGCAAGATGGGTGAACGTCTGCACGGCCAGCTGGACAGGGGTACCGGAGTATTTTAGAGTTGGGTAACAGCTGGACGGAGATCGACGGCGTATGATGCACATTGAACCTGATCGACGGCCAAAACATCATGCCGAGGTGATGGACTCCGGTAAACCCTAAGATAAAAGGGTTCAGTTCATGCGTACAGCTGGTGGAGAAACCGTGGGGGCACTACTAACGGACGTCATCACGCCTGAGCATTTTTACGGTTAGTTGTGAAGCGGAGTTAAGGTATTTGCTAAGTACCGAGTGGTTCCGATATTTTCGGTGAATTTGAGAAGCAGTTAAAGAGTTTACAGCCGGAGTTGTGCCCGCTAACTTCAGGGGTACGAGCAACATCGACCGATATTCTCGAAATATTTTTGGTGCATAGAGGAGGAGAAGCGAAGCAGCAGTTTCGGCTCTTCCCGAAAATTTCGGCGTGTACGGACAAAAAAGCTGATGCAGCTGGCGTCATTTGACCCTAGGTTTCGTTCGAGGTTTTTCACTGGAATGGGATTCGTATCGGTTGCTCTTCATCGTCATCGTCGTCAGCCTCTCGCAATCACTAGCTACAACCTCCATTCTCCATACGCCTGATTGTGTGAACACGACCCCGCCTCGCCATTCGAATCTACTGCAGCCGTATCAAAACAAGGAGATTTTGCAGAAGTACTGTAGAGCTGTGTTGGGGCCAGCCCGCAAGTAGTGCTTTTTACCTTTGAAGAAATTTAAAGTTTGTGTGGGAGTCTTCTGGAGTAGTAGTTGCGGAATTTGTAGACTTTCGACGCGGTTTTCCTTGAAGACAATTTACCTGGAGCGGAGTTTTGCAACGGCATCTTGGAAGCTTGAGTTATGGGATTTTCAGTGGTAGTGTGGGATTATTCCGACTACCCTCGAGCATTGGGGTTTCCTGGAGTTATACCTAGGAAATTGGAAGATGTTTTGTCTTGAGAGGGGGGAGACATGCAGCTGTGCTGCAATTTTTTGTCAGACCTTGTGGCGTGTTCCATCATCCGTCTTCGAGCATCATTCGTCACCGTTACGCTTCCGCACATAATTTCGCCACTTCGTTGACGGAGTTCGCTGACTTTAGTGGACACTAACGTGTGCTCTCGGATGTGACTCGAATGACCTCGCATTTGATGAACGGGTCTATATTTCATCGACCATCACGTTATTCGCCCGTCATCATTTCAAGAAATTCTGCTGCCATGCGCCATCATCAATCGACCACTCAACGGTTTAACTCTTCATTGTCTCCCGCTGGAGTATTTACCCTTGCCTGTTTTGGTCACTAGATGAATTCAACCATCTTCGACGGCCAAAATTAAAAAGCGATCGTTTCGACGCTTTTTTACCATTGATTTCAGTTCGACCTCAAAACATCGTCAGGCCGGTGTAATCATTGCGCTCGTCACAGGGCTCAAGACTTACGGTCACTTCGGGGATTAACTTAGATAAAAGGTTCGACCTCGATAAAGGGAGTGCCTTCCTTTAGAATGTGGGAGAGTGTAAGGAATTACGATTCCTTACTGGGGCTCGCCACAGCGAGTACACGCGAACAGTGCGTGTCCGCAGGCTCGGCCCTTGGTTATCGTGCCAAACCAGCCCCCGTCGACCTTTTCGGCCCCAATCTGATCTCGAGTCGCCTCGAACCCATTTTGACTCCTCACCCTCGGGAATATCGAGCCCTTGAATGGTCCAACCCTTGACATTCAACCTGGTCAACTCGCACTATATAAGCCCTAGGCCTCATTTCTATCGATATTCAGTATCACATTGTAATCACGTTCCCCTTATAGTATTCTGCGCTGTACTCTCAGTTATAATTCATAACACCTAGCCAAACACTGACCTGCTCTAGATTCCTCTCGCAAACTAAGTGGTCGCGGCTCGTCAGACTGTTGAGCTGGCAACACAGGCTGCATGACTGACTACAGCGTGGCTGCAGCGCGCGAGAGTTGACAATTGGTTAGGCCTGTTGCATTGTCCACAATTCGGGGAATCAAATCGCCTGCGCGTGGGGTGCTGTACGGACTTCCCCAGGACGAAGGCAATTACTTTCGCTTTCAGCTTGACAGTGAATCAAGTTAACTGTATTTAGGCAATTACTTTCGCTTTCGCTTACTATTTCAACGACTTTCTCTTATTTACCGAGAGTAAAGCCAACCGAATGTTTTTTTGGGTTGCGGAGCAACCTATTGCAATCGATCGGGCTGGTTTTTTTTTCAAGTTTGTGAAATAAAAATTAAATGCTTTTTGTGATGGAAATAAAACATTTTATGTATAATAAAGTCTCATCATGAAATGCTCCGCAACCCTAAGACGATCTCGTCGCCTCTTGTTTTTTTTTTTGTGAATTGTGAAACAGCCCGTTGCTAACCCAAACTTCTCTTGAGGCAGCCGCTCAAGCAATTACAGTATCGCCAATCTGCAGTGCCCGACACCCTCAGTCGCTGAAATGGTGAGACCGCGAAGATTGCATTGCAACTCATCCTGTATGCCTTCGCAAGACAATTCACGAAGCCCAGCTTCTGGTCTGTAGAACGATATTCAATCTTAACCGTCCGATATGCTAAGTTGGTGAAGATTTGCGGACTCGAAGTCACTCAGCCCTCAGATCAATTAGTGCGACTCGTCAAAGATTCGCCACGCTCTGAGAATTGCATTTCTCGTTTACAACAATGTACAATCCCGTTGTCCCCAGCCTTGAAAGTAGGATCTCATTCACCTTACCCCAACCACAGTCAACTATCAACCTAACAATCCGATCAAAGCCTATGTGAAGCTATCTTCCTTGGTCACGTGATTGAAGCCCTGTAAGCCATCCGTTTTCCCAGTTTCTGGTGTCTTCTGCTCCGCCGACGAATAGAACCGCTTATCCTGCTCTTGCCGCGTCACTGTTTCGACGGTAAACGGCGTCACACGAGGCAAACGTGGTCCAGGCGAAATTTCAGAGACACGTGTACTGGACTGCCCTAAGGGGCATCCGCTAATGAATCGTTCTGAATGCAACACTGGGCCCACATTCCCTTCTCGACGGTACTGTACTAGAAGGCTGAAAAACAGGAGAGACGCTTCAGAAATCTGATTGCCGGCATGAGGCAATCAGAGCGCGACTTGTCGCCAAGGATGTGTGGGGCCCAACCTGGCAGCGCGCATGCGAGCACAGAGCCAGACAGTGCAGTACAGTGTCGCGAGGTCGCATCAGATCCACCTAGTGTGACAGCACGCACTGTACTTTCCCGTCCTGTTGCCTGCCTTAGAACCACGGTCACGGACAACAACACATGGATGAGAGTGACCGCTGCCATGTGCTTCAATCAGTGTCTCGGCCTGAGCGCTCTGGGCCTGCGGCACTGGCGATTGCCTTGGCGCGACTTAGTCGTCCCTCCTTCCGACCCCAAGCGCTGACAGTCGCCATTGTAAGCGCTTGTGCAACTAGAAGTAGTATTGCGGATTCGCTGCCAGTTCTCACTCGACGATCCCCGCGTCTCACGCGTCTCCCTGAGTAGACAGTGTCTACTTCCTTTCTCGTCGTGACCTCGCATAGCATAGTACCCTAGCCGCCCCAAGGCGCTCTCTGTTACTAGTGAGCTAGGAGCTCTACTCAGAAGAGCTAGAGGCAGGAGCTCGTAACTCACGTCTCGGTCGGACCGTTACGAAATAGCGCATTTCGCGGGCATGAGCGCCGTCTCGGTGCCGCGCAGGCAGCTCGAGGGCCACGCGTTTCGGCACTTCGATTCCCTGATGTCTCCGCAATTCCCGCCTGACCCCGCGGACTCGAGCCGCTTTCACGAAGAAGCGGGTTCCATGGATCCCGCGCCGCACGACGATCGCGGCTATCGACATGTTTCTCGCCACGTCCGCCGGTTCAGCTCTCTCGAGGCAACCAGCATGATTGGCGGCGGCGGCAGCGGAGACGGAAGTGGCGACGTTTCTCGCCGTGCCCGGAGGAGCCGGCAGATGTCGGCCGATTTCGCCGCCGCAAGCGGAGGACATTTCGGAGCTAAGGGCGGCGGGCTGTGCGGCGAATTGTACGGCGAGCAGTCGGTGCTGCCAGTGGAGCGATCGGTGCCAGCAGCGACAGCGGTTCGTGTGCCTCAGTCAGCCTCTCCCGAGCCCAAAATCCCGACCTCGTTAGTGTCACCGTCACTTAAATCACCTCTGCCGAAGTCACCTTTGCCCCACCAGTCACGGTCGCCGCAGCGCCAGCCACGCCGCTTTCACTCGAGCGACGCCATCCCGCTACAACGGGGTAGCGCCGAGAAGATCCCGCAACACCCGGAGAAGGCATCGCCGGGATCGCTGGGAAAAAGCAGCGTCAACCAGCACCGGCCGCGCCGCGTCTACTCGAGCGATGCGATTCCGCTGACTCGCGGCGCGGCGGGTGGCTTGCCGGCGACATCTCCGCGCTCGAACACCCCCCCGCGATCCCCACTCTCCCGTTCTCCCCTTCCGCGGTCCCCCCTTGCGCTGGCGTCTCCCCCAACTGTGCGCGGTTTTCCCGTAGCAGGGGGGAACTCGGGGAGCGCTGAGAAACTTCACAGCAATAACCTGGAGAACGGCTTTGGCAGCACCAGCAGAAGCGAAAGCAGCAGCCGGCGATTAAAGCGCGATCAGCCGGTGTCGCGGGACGGAGCTACTAGCGCTGAGCTCATCATGGCTGCGAAAGTCACAGCGGCGGCACCGGCGCCTGCGCCGGACGTTCCGCTGGATCTGCTGGCTTCCGCGCGCCAGCTGATGGCGGAGTGCGAGGCGCGGGGAGTGCGCTGGGAGCTGCTGAACGCCGCGGGGCTGGGCGAGAATTCCGCGAAGAACGACCGGGCGGCGAAGCGCCGCGATGCGGCGCTGGCGAAGATCGCCGCTTGTAACATTCTACCTCCGACAGCAGATACAGATCGCGAGGAGGTCTCGAAAAAGGAGAAGCGCGAAAGGCGTTTCGGTCGTTTGCACCAACTCTTGAAACAGACGGGGGAGGAAGCGAGCAGTTCAAATTGCAATGGAGGCATTTCTAGCAGGCATCGTCGGCTCTTGAGTGTAGACCAAGAGGCAATCGGGCGGGAGAAGAAGGAGAAAGCTAATAGCGCGGATGCGGTGACGAATGGCGTTTTTCGCAACGCTAGCGGTGTAACAGGCTGTTACGCTGGTGATTTGCGTTCGCTGCACGAATTCGACGACGTGCCAAACCAACTGTTACAAAAAACACTTTTGTCTTCTGCGGGAACTTCTACGACGGCTGTGCAAACCGAAAGCGAGTCTACCTCAAACGAGAATATCGCAGCCACTTCTTCCGCTGCTTCCCCAATCGCAGTTCCTGTTGCTCCCTCCGCGAAGTCCGCCCTCCCCCTCGTCCGCCTGCGCCATGGCCGCGTGTCCTCCTGCTCCTCACTCCCCATCTCCTCCGCCCTGGTTTCCGCGTTCCCCGCTTCCCCGCTTTCCCCCTCCCCGCTATCCCCCTCCCCGCTTTCTCCCTCCCCGCTTTCTCCCCTTTCCGCCGCCTCCCCTTCCTCGCGTGTTCTCCCCGCGTCTGCTGCGCCCTCTCCCGCGCAGCAGCAGCTGCAGCAGAATTCGCACCTGAAGCAGTCGCGCGTTTTGGGGAAGCATGGGAGCCTGGAGCAACTATCAGGGTTTTTTTCAGGTGTGCTGTCCCTTTCTCGGGGCAGCAGCGGAAGCGGCTGCACCAATAGCGGAAGCAGCAGCCCCTGCCCCGGCTCTCCGGGCAGCTTTGTTGAAAATTCGCCTGCAGGCAGCGCGGTGAAAGATGCACCAGTGGGTTTTTTCCATCGCACTGCCCGAGAGGCCCTGCTGCAGTCCGGGCAGGGGAGGAAAGCTTTGAAGCCGGCCGATTTCTTGCTTCGGATGCCCTACGAAGACATCAAGGGTCGGTATTCGCTCGGGAAGAAGGAGATTGGCGACGGCAGGTTCGGGTCGATCCGAACCTGCTTGGAGCGGAGCACTGGGAGCTTCTACGCTTGCAAGACAATCTCAAAGAAAATAATTCAGGTGAGAGCAATCCTCCCAACCTGTATACCGTTTGCTTCCAGCCGATCTTTTTTCTCGATAATCCACTGCTTCGTGTCACAATTTCCATAATGTCAGTCACTCAATGGCCAATACCTTGCAGCACCCTCCATCTTACCTCTTTCGTCTCACCCCCCTTCTCCCTGTGTCTGAACGCATGTCACATGCCCATAAACACTTCTGAATTTCCTATATTTCCCCTCTTCCCTCCTTTTTTTTTGCAGAGTAACGAGGAAGCAGAGGACGTGCGGCGTGAAGTGACGTTCCTCGCCATGCTGAAAGGCCACCCCCATATAGTCACACTCAAGGAGGCGCTAGAGGACAAAAAGGCCATCCACCTCATCATGGAGCTCTGCCCGGGCGGTGACCTCTTCGAAAGAATCAAGTCCCGAGACCAACTCTCTGAACCCGAAGCGGCTCTGATCCTTCGGCAGCTTCTAGAAGCACTCATCTACACCCACTCCATGGGGATTCTACATCGCGATGTGAAGCCCGAAAACATCCTCCTTACAAGCCCCTCCAGCTGCACGCCTATAAAGCTCATCGATTTCGGCGTGGCTACAGTGTTGGCGGCTGGTACGCAGTGCACCGAGATGGCGGGAACCCCAGAATACATGGCACCAGAGGTTTATGATGAGGAATATGGGACAGGAGCGGACGTGTGGGGTGCGGGAGTGTCTCTCTATGTGATGCTGTCGGGCATTCCGCCCTTTTGGGAGTCGACGAATCGGAGTCTGGAGCATGCTATAAGGAGCAAGAAGGTCTCGTTCAAGCACTGGAAGTGGGCGGGCGTGTCGGTGGAAACGAAGGAGCTTATAACAAGGATGCTTGAGAAGGATCCGAGAAAGCGCATCACGGCTCAAGAGGCTCTAGGTGAGGGCTTGCTCAGGCTTGGGTTTGTGTCCTCCTGTGTTTCCCTCTCTCTGCCCATTGGCTCTTGCTGCCTCACTTCCATGTCTGCTTCCTTCTCTGCCCACTGTCTCGTGCGCTCTCTCCCCCTCTCACATGTCTGCATGTCCCCATCCATGCATGTGCATCGCATGCATTTTCCCAGTGTATCTGCATCAAGCCTTGTTCTTATCAGTCCTCTTTTCTCCCCATTGCTCCACTCTTGGTCTCCTCCCCTGCCAGAGCACCCCTGGATTGCTAAGATGGCTCCAGCAACAGCATAAGCTATTTCAGCATGAACGACTTCACAGCCGGTTTTACAATGTCGCCGTTTTTACAATGTCCTTATTAACGGCGGGCGAGCAAGGGGGTTCCATTTAGTGGTGCTATCCCATTTTATCATCATTTCGCAATGATGGTATGCTTCCCTTTTCGTCCAGTTGTGCTTGGACAGTACATACTGGTGGTTAGCTTCCCTCCCATCTTGTGTAGAATGTGTATACTAGTTTTTCATTGCAGCATGTCACATTGCACAATATGTATGTAGGTACCGTATGTCACATTCTGCTGTTATTAGTGCATGCTATGTGTGGTACTGTATTCTCCCGGATATAGTCTTAGAAAAGCTTAGGACACTAGCTAGGTAGCTAGGATGAAGGAACATAGGTAGGCAGCCACTAGGAAGCTAAGAAGGCCGCTGTTGGGCTGAGAAAAGCCCTTAGGATCTTTTGCAGAGACTAAGTCCCAGCTTGTAGAGACTTGAGACTTGGAGTAGTGCAGCGGAAATTGAGACAGTTGAACCCTTGTACTAGTATGTGAGAACAAGTGATTGATTAAAGAAACAAGCATACAGCAATATATAGAAGATAAGAAAGCAGTTGTAGAATACAGTTACAGGAACGGTTTATCGAGTCGCACAGCGACTCGATTGCCGCTTCGGTTACCATCCGTGATGTTGTAACGGTCAGTCGCAACCTCCAGTTGCGACCTTTCGAGTCCTTTCGCATTCTTTGTCCGCCCCCTCGTGTAACCTCCGTTGACTCGCGTGCTCCCCTGTAATCTTCCTCGAGTACAGTGTTACACTTCAGAAACGCTTAAGTCCTTGAGATATTTCCAACACTCCCCTTCGTTTCTGGAGTGCTGGAGTGTTCAGATCCGGTGACGTTTGTTTGCCCGGTTAGGAGCATGCAGTAGTCGAATTTTGCTTTCGCCAATTTCTTCGTCAGATAATCTGCGGCCATTTCTGTCGTCGGGCAGTAACTGAGTTGAAGTCTCCCCTTCGCGATTTCATCCTTGACGAAGAAGTACCGCAGGGCGATGTGCTTGGTTCGGTTGGCGAAGCCGTCCTTGTTCGCGATTTTTATCGCAGATTGGTTGTCGCAGAGGAGTGAGAAGGTGGGCAGGGTCGCGATCTTCGCTTCTTCGAGTAACTCTCGTAGGTAGAGTCCTTCCTTGGTCGCAGTACAAAGGGCGATATACTCTGCTTCAGCCGAGGATAGTGCGATTAACTCCTGCTTGCTCGACTGCCAGGAGATAGTTCCGATAGGTTCTAGTCGGTAGATGTAGCCCGTCCTAGACCGTCGATTTTCGCTGTCTCCCGCGTGGTCGGCGTCGACGTATCCGAGTAGTCGTACGGACGGTGTTGTTGCCTTGCTGTAGGTGAGCCCGATCGTCGGCGTGGAGACGAAGTAGAGTAGCGCTCGATTGAGTTCTTCGAGATCTTCCTGTTGCGGCTGCTTCAGATGTGTCGCCAGCTGACTCGCACTATAGGATAGGTCGGGTCGGCAGGTTACTGTTGCGAATAGTAGGCAGCCGAGCTTCTGTTGATACTCCTGGATTTGTTTCGCGGGGAGTTTTGTGGAGGCGCTACTGTTGTTCCCGTAGCGGTAGGGAGTTGGGACCGCAGTCGGTGTTAGACCGAATTTCTTCGCGACGGTGCTTGAGTACTTTCCAGCGTGTAGGTAGAACGCCGTGTCGTCTTCGACGACGTTCAGTCCTAGGTACTGCGTCACCTCGTCGGACACCGTGAGCGTTAGGTCCCTTTTCAGCTCCCCTTCGAACCAGGTGACGATGTCGGTGGTAGAACCGATGTAGAGCAGGTCGTCGACGTAGACGATGAGCAGAATGTAATCTCTTCCCTTCTGTAGTCGGTACATGCCTTGGTCATGTGGTAACTGTAGGAATCCGATTTTTACGAGCCGGCCGTGAAGGTGCTGCTGCCAGAGCCGTGGGGCTTGCTTGATCCCGTAAAGGGATTTTTCCAGCTGGCATACTTTTGAAGGGTCGTCGATGAATCCGTGGGGTTGTTCGACGAAGATTTCGGCGTCCACAGGTGCGTACAAGAAGGCGTTTGCAACGTCGATTTGCCGTAGTGGTAGTTTCTTCGTGGCCGCGATGGCGAGTAGGATGCGCAGGGAGGTGTGACGGGAGACTGGAGCGAAGGTTTCTGTGTAGTCGGTTCCGTATCGTTGATCGAAGCCTCGTACGACCCATCGAGCTTTGAATCGTTCGATGGAGCCGTCTGAGTTGGTCTTGATGCGGTACACCCATTTCCCCGAGAGAATGTTCTTCCCGTTGATGCTCGTTGCAGGTACCAGTTTCCATGTTTCTCGGTCTTGCAGAGCTTTTAACTCTTTTTCCATCGCTTCCTTCCATTGTGCCTTATGTTCCCCCCCCAGAGCCTGCGACAGGGTCGACGGCTCGCGCGGAGAAGGCGGCGGCGGGTGCTGGACGGAGACCCATAGTCCTAGGATCTGCAGTCCCGTGGCTGTGTGTCGAGGGGAGTTTTCATTCTCGGGATAAGCTGCTTCATCACCGTCTTCAGGATCGGGTAAGAAGTTTGGCCCGATGCGTTCGGAAATATTCGAGTCGACGGGGTGTGGTGTAGCGTAGCCTTGGTCAGCGAAGTGGTAAAAGGTGTCGAGGTTGTTGCTATCGAGGGGATTATCTTCATCGAGTGGAACAGGTACGGAGCAGTAGGGGAGTGGTCCGGCAGCCTCCGAGGCTCCAGGGACGTCTTCTTCTGCTGCGTCAGCTTCGGCAGCATGGTCAGCGAAGGAGCGAAGGCCCGCGAAGCCGTCGGTGGGGTCGTCTGAGTTGGCAATGTTGTCCAGGTAATGCTGCAGCGTCAGTCGCTCGTAGAAGATAACATCACGTGATGCCACCGTATTTTTGTCGTGTATGTCGAGAATCTTCCACGCGTGAAAATGTTTGGCGATGCCGAGGTGTAGTCCCCACCGAGCTCGTTGAGTGAAGCGTCCTGCTCGAGCTGTGTGGGGTCTGTATTGTACCATGCAGCCGAAAACTCGAAGTAATTTTGTGCTGCCCCTTTTTCCCCGTCCACAGCAGGTGCGGTGATGCGTTGTTGGGGAGCGATGACGAGGACAACAGGTTGTGCAGGTGGACTGCATGTGTCATCGCGTCTGGCCACAGTGTATTGGGCAGTCTCATCCCCAGGAGCAGCTTTCGCATCGTCGTCTGCAAGGTCCGGTTCATGCGTTCGGCGACCCCCTGCTGCTGGTGAGCGTATGGTAGGGACACCAGGCGCTTGATTCCTCTTTCCGCCAGATAGGTCCTGAAGCGTTGTGACTGGTATTCTAGGGCACCGTCTGACTGGAAGCTTTTGAGCTTGGTTCCTGATTCCCGCTCGGCGATGGGGAGCCATGTTGTGAAGGCGTCGAAGGCTTGATCGCGCGTCTTGAGGTTGTAATGCCAAGTGTATCTTGTTGCTGCATCGACGAAGGTGATGACGTAGTTGAAGTCGGCTTCCGTGTCGTCTCGAGGCATGTTCAAGATGTCGCTGTAGACTTTTTCCATCGTTGCATATGCAGGCGCGCTTGGATTATGATGGGATGGGAAGGGTTGATGAGGAAGATCTGCTTCGGGGCACGTGAAGCATCGTGCTCTTGGTCGGCGAAGTTCTTGGCCGCTCGTCGTTAGAAGGGCGTTACGTTCTAACACCTCTGCTTGGATTGTTTGAAGTATTGTGCTGTTTGCAGGGTGTCCGAGGCGTTGGTGCCAGATGTCGTCGGGAGCACGGTGACCGGGCGAGCGGTGGTAGATGTCGGCGTTGGAGAAGAACGCGACGACCGAGGCGGGACTTCGACAAGCTTCTCGTGTGGCGGGCATAAGTTGGTCTGCTTCCGTTGGCGGTCCTCGTGTTGATGGTGGTGGTACTCGGCTGGGTCCTGCTGCCGATACTGCAGGTGATGGTTTTGTTGGGACACTTGCGGGTACTTGTCTTTCTTGTCTGATAACTGCTAATGCTCGTGTTCTCTCTGCTGCAGGTATGGTGTTGGAGTGCCAGAAGCCGTCACTGTCGAAGTCGGGATCAAGATCCGGCGGGTGAGTCCAGGCGGCGAACGATACGATGCCATCGCTGTCGGCAGTTCCGCGGTCGGGGACGAAGTCCAACACGAAGACACCGGACTTCAGGAGGGCACGACCGATGAAGAGGCCGCCCTTCCCGTGGTAAAGTCGGAACTCGTTGGAGAAGGAGTCGCACTCCAGGTGAATCCCCTTAGCCATTAGTTGGCTTACGCTTAGTAGGTTGTATCCCAGATTGTCGACGATGAGGACTTTGTTGAGCTGAAGAATAACGTTTGTCTCCATTGATTGTAACTGAACCACGCCTTGTCTGTTTGTTTTCAGGTTTTCGTTGTTGGCGACGGTGATGACGACGTCGCGGTTGAGGCGTCGCTCGTGTTGTACGAAGCGTCCGGAGGAGCACATGTGCTGACCGCAGCAACTGTCCAAGAACCAGGTGTTCCGCCCGGTGGGTTCGGCGTTAGCGACTGCAGCGTATGTCGGGTTGACCTGAAGTCCTTGCGAGCGCGGCGGCGGGAATTCCTCTTCGTCTGGTGCGTAAGTGGGTGGTGAAGCGGGTGCGCAGTTGTCGATGTGTACCATGCAGTTGATGATGTTGGGTGTTTGTTGTGCAGATGTTGAAGAGCGCCTTGGAGGACTTGCTTGAGTGGAAGCGACTTGTGGGTCTGCTGCACGGTAAACGCGAGGGCGGTTGCAGTTGACCTTGGAGTGCCCGGAAGTCTGACAGTTGTGGCAGAACGGCGGCACGATGGTGAGTCCTCGGTTGTCGCGTTGATCTTGCTTGCTGCGTCGGTTGTAGTTGTTGTCATTTCTTCTTTGAGTGTAGAAGACTAACTGCTGTTGCTTCCTTGGTTGTCTTTCCTCGAACAGATCCATCTCCTGTTGTTCAGCGTGAAGCTCGGCGCAGAGGTGCATCTCCGAAATTCTTCCGTGGGCTCGAAGAAGTGATCGTGTGGTTCTCCATTCTGGCCCGAGCCCGGCGAGGACAAGTGTTACGAAGCTTTCTTCAGTGATCGTTCCTCCGCACCGAAGCAGGCGGTCGCGGAGGGTCTGGCAGCGACTCATATACTGCATCGCCTTTTCCCCGGTCTTCATCTGTATTGTTGTCAGCTGTTGCATGAGTCTGCTTTGTGTCACGCTGTCGTTTGCTTGGTAAAGGCACTTGAGGTGGTGCCATGCGAGCTCCGCGGAGTTTCCATAACTCCGATACGTTCTGATGCTCTGCTGCTCTTGTGGTGACAGGTTTCTCAGGAGTACCGTGTACGC